AGTATGTTCTGAATTTCATCATAATCTCATAATTCCATTATGAAAACTCCATGCGGCAAAGCTATGTCATGTTCTCACAAAACAGACAAAGCTAGGTGAGACTGCCGAAGAGGGGTGAGTTGAAAGGGCGGCGATCTGATGCTGATCAAACCACACTATGAACGTTGTCATAGTAGAGAGCAGAAGAGAAGACTTGGCTCAGCTCCGCTGAAGAATGTCCTCTTATTGAAGCGCAGTTCACAATATCCGTAGTGGCATGCAATTTTAGCTGGACGACTTGACCATTGCCACGCTAAAGGCGCGGTCTGCGATAAGGAGCGTAGATGGCTGGTAGTGAAATGTGGGATGGAAGTTGCCGAGTGGTTCGTCCATGAGTAGAAAATGCCGAAATACCGTCGGCAACACCTCTAATATGACCGCTTGTTTGACGAACTACTGGTTGCTGATTCTTTGTAATGAACCCTACGACTCGAGAAGAGACTCATAGCATCCATTTTATGCTGATTGTCTGGTAGCATCGCAATGGCTGGAGCAGGGCTCAGCATTCGATGGGGATTTTGGTCGAGCTTTTACGACCCCCCCCCTTTTTTCAGGGGCTGGTACGACCCCCCCCCATGCTCGTACGATGGCTGACATGGCTGACTGTGGTTGTGGTTTATACTCGGCGAAAAAGTTGTCGAGCGAAAATTCATAAAACTCATGAAGTGAACCACGTAACTCCTAGCCAGAAATACGACCCCCCTCCCAACAACGACCAAATACGACCCCCCCTCCAAAACGTCCGCAAAGCGAGAAAAATCAACTATAAAAATAAATTTTTCCCAGCCCAAATACGACCCCCCCTTTTGGCGGCCAAATACGACCCCCCCATAGGGAATCCCCATCGAACGCTGTGCCCTGGGCTGGAGGGCGGGTTTTGAAGGGGGAGTCTGGAGGCGGAGTTGTTGATAAAAGGGAAGACCACTGGAGCAATTTTGCACATAACTCCAACACCTTACAACTTTAAACCGCAAACTGGCACAATGTTATCCAGTGTGCACCACTTGTGCCATTAGTCTTCTGCTTTTCATGAGTCATCGCGGACCGTTCCTTTGAGGGAGTTCCGCTCTGGATGGCCCGCTTGTAAGGATGTGCGGATCAACAACCTTCGAATCACATAGCGCCCATTACTCCTTTCTAGTGAAGAATATTCGTAAGACAACTAGCCGACTGTGTTTAAGCAATGAGACTGTGGAGAAGAACACTCTGTTCGCAATGAAGACCAGTATCCGGCCATATAGCGTGAACATCACCTTACGAATGAAGGTCTGTTCCTATTTTCCGAGTGGCACCTTCACTTTCTTCCGGACTGGAGAACAACACTCGTTCTTTTACAGCGTGAACTTCGAATCCTGAACGAGCTGAAGAAGGCCAAGTGCCCATACAGTCCCATTGTTCTCGACAGTGGACGTGTTGCTGACTTACCTTTCATAGGTGATATATGCTCCTATTCGAAAAACAAATACGAAACACTACCAAAACCTGAGTGATCTGACTACTGGTCACTCACAGCAGCTGTTAAAATATCAGTGTTCCCAAGGAAGAAAGATGTGTCGATAAATAGTGGCAGGATTGATTCACACCTCATTTACACCTTAAGCCTTGTTGTTGTTTTTTAGCTGTAACTGCAATCTGTGTGTGTGTGTATGTGTGTGTGTGTGTGTGTGTGTGTGTCACTGGGTACGGCATTTTGGAGAGCACCTGGGGCACATCCACCCAAAAAAAAAGAGAACAACTTTCTTCCAGTACAAACTGTCAACGAAAGGTTTCTGTCTTGACTCACAACAGCTTTTCGCGCTATCTTGCACTGAACGCTCTAAAATACAGAAAAAAATTGGGGAAAGCAGCGTAAATACGAAGCTCTTAGGAAGAAGACGACTTGAGGTCAACTGTACGTCACCTTCGTGGTTCCTGGCGCGAAAAAAGCCACTTTCTCCTGTCAAAAGTGCATAAGAAAGGCGTGAGCAGCCGCACGACCGGTTGTCTGCGCCCTCTCACTTCTAGTTCTGTAACATTCTGTAAGACTGAATACCTGTCCCGCTTCGAGGTCTTGGTATCATAGCAAGTGCTACAACTTGGGGATACAGCGGGTGAAGTATGGAAACGGTGCGAGTGTTACTACCCCTATTCTCGTGCACTTCTAACAAGGGAAGGATGGTAGGTCGAAGTGGCCATTTGAAATGAAATGTATACCGGCTGAAAGGTCTTCGGACGGGAATTACGAAACCGTCTTCCATATCTGCTGCGGACCTCCCAGAAAGAAGTTACGGAGCTTTTTAGGGGGACACTACAAATTGGCGGCGTAAGGCTGACGAGATCGTGGCAGCATGGCCGAGTGGATACGTCGTAGGGCTCACGGATGCGTGGTCGAGGGTTTGGATCCTTGATGCGTGTGCTCTTTTGCATTTTTTCGAAAGTGGTCCCTGTGCACTTCAAAGCTATTTTGCATAACACTTGTCCCTGATAATGTCGTGATGTAATGATTCTGAACTGATGGAGCCATTGCGAACGATTTCATGGAGATCACCTCCGGCTGAAAAGATTGTCATACGAGCCGAAAACTTCCAGCAGATACGAAAACACTTTGAGATAGACATAATTCAACATTATGTGAGTGGTGAATGAAGCTCTTGCCCATCGCGATCTCCAGCAGCATGATTGTCACATCAACGCCACTTCATATGGAAGCATTTTCCCCACTATACTCATCTTCGTGCACAACTTCGTGCTTCGGATTCGTTTTCCAGTCATGTCGTTTGGAGAATAAAGTCATTTGAAGGCAAAATCTTCCTTTGGAATGCACTTTTGTTGTGTATGCTTTTCAAATCAAAGAAAGAAGAAGACAACAGCCAGAAGTGATCTCTATGGAATGGTTCGCAATGGCTCCATCAGTTCAGAATCATTACATCACGACATTATCATGGACAAGTGTTATGCAAAATAGCTTTGAAGTGCACAGGGACCACTTTCGAAAAAAAATGCAAAAGAGCACACGCATCAAGGATCCAAACCCTCGACCACGCATCCGTGAGCCCTACGACGTATCCACTCGGCCATGCTGCCACGATCTCGTCAGCCTTACGCCGCCAATTGTAGTGTATTCTCCCCCTAAAAAGCTCCGTAACTTCTTTCTGGGAGGTCCGCAGCAGATATGGAAGACGGTTTCGTAATTCCCGTCCGAAGACCTTTCAGCCGGTATACATTTCATTTCAAATGGCCACTTCGACCTACCATCCTTCCCTTGTAAGCGGAGGAAGTGAAACACTACTGCAGCTGCGGACTCATTCACCTTCGATATGGCTAGGCCGATTTAGGAGGACGAGTATACAATTTCAAGTATACTCGCCAAGTCAAGTATATTTCAAAGAAACCTGCGCAAAGTTGAAATTATGGGAGTCGGACTATTCCAGAAGATGCCGTAGCTACATCAGCGCCAAACATGCTCTTTCCTCACCTTTCACCTTATCTTTGGAGATACAATACGCTAGGTTTTTGCATACCATCACCTTACTGCAACAGGCGTGCATACAACGCACGAAGTTTGAGGGTCGCAGATTTGTTATGTGAAATATGACTTCGGACCACGTTCATTTGTGAGCTTTATGGCGCCTTGTTACCTCGCGCCTTTCGCAGCAAATGACGTTCCTCGTACGCTGAGAGATGTGCCTTTATTGCTAGGAGTACTCACTCAGTACAGCTACACCCTCCTCCACATTATTCACACCATGCTTACGATATCAACCAGTTTGGCTAACGCGCAATACTGCGCGCATGGTTAAACCCATGGTACTGGTCACTGAGGGGGTTTCTCTGCTGAGCACAACACTTGGCCCAATCCCCTTGTTTCGGAATACGGCCCATTTCATCGTGCTTCTCCCTTTTAATGAACTTGCCAATGACTGGGCTTATCACGTTTTTGACAACACTCGCCATTCGTTGGAAATAGGAAAGCTTAGCGGTTGAAAGAGTTTCGGGGGTAATAACAGACGCAGAGTGAAATGTCCTCACATCCTAGTACATACCTTAAGCAGCTTTTGGGACTTTTACTTTTTGTCGAAACTCGAGAGTTTAGCGGTCGAATCAATTCCGACTATATCGCTAAGGGATAGAAACATCTTGGCTCACTAAGCCTTTGCCCACAGTTTCTTTGGCCAAGGTGATGTGACCATATACGGACTCCTAAAAGCCCTTGTCGGACACGACCTGAACTTATCTCCCACTACTATTGTTACCTTACTTGCTGGGGGCAATTCTCCAGTGTGGCTACAACTATGCTGCGAATTTTTGGGGCTATCTTATCAGCTGTTATCACGTCCTGCCACCAACCAATAATGTTCCCATCTTGCCCACTATCTTACTCCTTGGAACCGAAGTCCTAGCGTCGCTGTGAAGCACGTTATCAAGTTGATGACCCTTCGCTTCTAAGACTCCTTATGGTATCTTATCAGCTGTTATCACTTCCTGCCACCCATCACTAATGTTCCCATCCTGCCCCCTATCTTACTGCTTGGAACCAACGTCCCGACGTTGCTGTGGCCGGCGCTATGAATTTAGTGGCCCTTCCCTTCTAAGGCTCCTTATGTTATCTTATCAGCTCTTATCACTTCCTGCCACCTACCAATAGTGTTCCTGCCCGACCTCCTATCACTTATCAGTTTGAGCGCACAATCGCTGTTTTGAAGGAAGTTATGAATTTCCGGTCAAACACACATACAGACACACAAACATACATTCACACACACACACACCAACAGACAAACTTAGCGGATTATATATAGTAGGATGTTTACCCACCGCTTTTGTTGGTTAATTATTTAATCCACCGATATCTGGGACAGAGCATTCGTCATGCTACTATTTCAAAGCCCGCGCAATGTAGCACGTCGGCGGAAGTCTCGAATTGTTTCGCTGACATCCAGCCTTACAGCAATAGAGAATTTTCCATGGTTCATGTTTCAGTGATGACTCTTCTTGATCGCAATCTAGAGAAACTACGTGAACAAACAGCTGCATTCAAACCAGCCACAGTTTTCTATGTTACTCATGAAGCTTTAGCTGCGATAGCGGTTGGTCATTTTCTTGTTACCGTGGTGAAGTGCAGCCCAAAACCAGGGTTTGTAAAAACACAGGAGTGGGTTCAAAACCCTCTGTAGACAACAGAATCGCAAGAAAACCGTGGCGCTCATTTTAATCCGCAAAAAGACAAAGCCATGTCAAAAGACATTTTCATGGCAAGTGGTATATAGCCTTGTTCGCCGCGGATGCTAGGGCGTGGGTTGGTGCGGCGCCATCGTGTTCCCCACCAATTGTTGAAGGGCAAGTGGAGAGCGTTGGTGATATTGAGCTGGCGCTGCGTCAAACTCGGCCCATTCCCTTGACACGCCCCAGCATTCGCAACAAAGAAGACGATGTACTTCATATAATTTGCTATGACTATTTGTCTGTCCGGAAATCCGCTTCTACCTGAAGAGCCACTCAGAGAGCTAGGAGTCAGGTGTCGCACCAGCTGTAAAGGGTCAGTTCCAAAGTGTGATAGGGAGAAGGGAGTGGGACGGGAACACTATTGGTAGGTGACAGAACGTTATCACCGCTGATAACATCCGATGAGAGGCTATAGAAAAGGAGAGTCGCCAAATTCACAGCGAGGATCGTAGCATTAGCCAGGCGTTGATTCTGTCAAAAGGTATGGAGGGTGAGATGGGAACATTAACAAAGCGTGACAAAAAGAGATAGGAACTGAGAGGGGCTGATAAGGGACGTTGCAGTCGTCGTTGTTGTTCAACACGGTGAGCTTTGACACTACCAAGTTTGGAAGATTTAGCGATAGAGACACTGATGACCGCTGACAAGCAATGTTATCAACTGATAAGATTAGATAGAATTATCCTCTTCGCAGTCCGTACTACTTCTTACTCTTATTCTTGGAAGCGTCAGAGACTCATTGTGTGAGCTCTTTCCTTCAACCATCATTTTTCCAATAGCAATATGTAATGATGTCGGAGGAGGGGGAGGGATATATGCGTGAAGGGGTGGAAATCAAAAAAGGTGTCCATGAGTAGATCGTAGTCATAATCAATCCAAAAGAAGAAAGTGACTAGAGTTCTAAGTGAAGTGGTGCTGAGGCCGTATTGCAAGAAGGAGGCGTGCCGGCGAGCCGACTTGCAATTTCATAGATGATGTAGGCCTGGTATTTAGTGAATTCTGAATAAACCAAGCAAGTGATAACTCTCTACATTCGATTGATTGCAATTTCAGTTCGTCCATGGTATGAAATATATCCATCGTGACATTAAGCTGACAAACCTTTGCATTGGGGCGGGCCAATTGAACACCCGGATTTACTTGATCGATTACGGTGACACCGTAAAAATAGGCAAGAAGATCAGGTGAAGATATACCTCTTCGCTTGGTTCGGCTCGTACGTGGCTAGGAAACATGAACAAAAGGCGAAATTAGTGTTTCCTTCTGCCTCTGACCTTTCTCCTTACTCCTGCTGAGCTTTCTTCTACGCTAACCATAAGACAAAGGTGCTAAGGCCACGTTTAGAGGCCGCGGTGACGCGCTATCATTGCGATAGCACGTTAATGCTGAAGACTAGGACGCAACCATAAACGGGTATCGGTCGGCGGCAATCGCACGTTTTGAGAGAGTACAGCAAAGTAGGACCTGTGTTTCTTTTCGTCGGTGTTGGGGACCTGAGCACGAATTTCAATGTGCTAAGTAATCCAACTGCCAAGAAAAAGCAGAACAAACCGTCGAAAAGGCATGAAACGGCGAAGGGAGAGTGAGCGTCGGAAGAAGGAACAGTCAATGGTAGGGCAAGAAAGTAGCAAAAGAAAATTGATAATCGATAATAACTGATCAAGTTGGAAGCTATATAGCGACGGCAAAAGGAAATAGTAAAAGTGGAAAGCGTCATGGGGTGAGGACTGGTTGTCGTCGCAGAGTCGTGGTGTGTCAGGTATGCCCAAACTGTAAAGGTGGTACATCCCATACGATTGCAAATCGCGTCGTTTTATGCAGAGAAAGGCCTCTAAACGAGCAATCTATTACTTTACTGTTACTAAGAATATTCCATGTATTCACACAGATACGGTACACCTGATGGCTACACGTTGCCATTTTGGAGTATAGACGCTCATAAGCGCGCACCCGCTCGTGAAAAAACTGACATTGAGTCATGGTTCTACGTGTTGATCGATCTGTATGTGTCTCTTTCCTTTCGGTAACCCTTTTTGAGGTTCTATACGGTGATCGTTCCGTTTCAGACTTTCTCCCGGAGCGCTACCTTGGGCAAAAATCACTAACGAACAGGATATGGAAGCCGAGAAAACGAGTTTTTGGGAAGGTAAGTACGGGGAAGGATAGTGCTTTTCGTCGCACTGGGTAAGAGCTTTTGGCAAGTAAAATGTTCTCGTAGGATCCTCTAAACAGTGGAGCAAACTTTATATGTTAATGGAATGTTTCGGTGCCTTCTTGCATACATTTGACAGTCACAGCTACTTGTCACTGCTTCGGTGATCTTACCCAAGAGTCCATTCTTTTGTGGAGTCACGAAAACAGTAACGCCTTAAGCTTTTTATAGATGCGTGGTTGTCACATTTGTGCAGCTAGATCTACCACTGTGCCTTTTTCCGTCACGCCCCTCTGTTTCCTGCGGACATGGAATTCTTCTGGAAACAGAAGTCAAGATAATAAATAAAGAATGGAAGTCCTCATCGTTGATCAATCCTTTTTGGGATGCGGCAACATTCGGTTTCCATTCAGAATCTAGCGGCTTATTGAATGCGATGAGCCCTACAATGGGATCGCCGGCCACGTCGACGTTAGTGTGATCATCCTTCCAGATGAATCTGGTACCTATTTACCGTCCGCGGAGGATGGAGAGCTGGTTATGGGCGGGAGCCGATCCGGAATTTGATCCCCGGGCAGGAACTTTGCGGAGGTGGCCTAAAAAAGGGTGGAAGACAGAAGGAATACAGGGTCGAGTTCGAGTTGAGTTGTTATAAAAGAGGCAGTTGTAGGCACCTTGGGTGGGGTGTAGCAATGAGCCACCGTTAACTTGAGTGGCTTAATCAGCGTAGGCGTAGGCTTATAATTATAGAACTGGGAACTCAGGGGGAGAGCAGAAACATCGAATTTTCGTATTTTGGTGGACACGTTTAGGTGCGTGCGACTATATTTCATTCCAGCCTAATTTCTAGCTGGCTCTCCCATCAATAAATTATCTATTCTTGACGAAGAGCGTCAAGGTTCCATACACCAATGATTGAATTGACGAGAAGGTTTATATGAACCATCTAAGGAAATAGGGTGTAGGTCTGAAAAATAGCAACAGCCGCGCTTCCGAAAGAAAAGTACGGTATCGAGTCCATGATTGGAAGCTGCTATTCATGTAGATCGACGGCTTCTGCATTGTTAGGCTGAATAATCGCTAGCAGGGCGCTTCCTGGCGTTGAAATGAGAAACTGCCCAGTTCAGCCCTTCCCTTCAACTTTTCTCTTCGGTAGGATCGCTCCACAAGCTACCAATCACCCTACCAAGCCTTCCCGAGTATATGTCGCACGGGGTCGTGGGCGAGAGGGGGAACACATCTCAGCTATCAGGGGCAATGGTGAGCAGGACGCTTCTCAGTGGAGTTTCCCTATGGTACGAAGTGCCCTGGTTATCACTAAGCTAAGATACTGATAAGAGATTAATAGAGTACTACCGATAAGTACCCTTGTAGCTGAAGCTGTGTTATTTGTCCTGTTGACCGTTACAGTATAGTGTAGTCCCCCTGAGCCAGAAAAACTACCTCATTTGCAGGGCAACGTCAGATGCCTGATTCTCCGTTCGTGTTTGCGCTTTTCGATCTCATACGAAAGTTGACCAGCAATTTCGATCATCAGTTAGCAAGGCGAATACTACGCGAAGCCATAGAACATCATCTCAAAGGGTCAGTGTAGTTTAGAAAAAAATTAAAACCACTGAAAGCGCTCACATTTCAGGCCGTTGGTACTAGAATGGGCACCTAACATGCGTGTTAATTTGGCCCCCCTCACTGGCCGACGAGTCGTTAACACTCAGCTAGGGGTTGACCAGACTATGCGAACCATTGACAAAACGTCGAAGACGATGGCGGACGAAGAATCCGTTCGTCGAAGCAGCGATCAAGTTCGGAACAGACAAAAAGAACGAGTCAAGGGCAGTCCTCGTACCAAAGAAACGCGAGGGTCAAATGAAGCTTCTGTGGAGGTACGAGGAACGGTGTCTCAAAACAGAGCGCCCTCTGTTGACGAAGACGGCGGCGTTAAACGTAAGCCAGTGGTGAAATACCTCGCCGGTCAGGTACCAGGCATGACTGCGCAGCGAAAAAAAAATGTCGCCTCGTAAAAAATCATCAGCTAGGCGACAGCAGCAACAACAGCAGCGTCAAAAATTACCTCAACAACAGCAACAAGTCCAACTACAACGACAACAACAACAGAGGCTGCAGCAGCAATTGCAGCAGCAGAGGCAACAGCAGCAACGGCTGCAGCAACAACGGCTGCAGCAACAACGGCTGCAGCAACAACGATTGCAACAGCAACGATTGCAACAGCAACGGCAGAGATCCAGAGACCAAGAAGAGGGAGACGATTAACCGTGCACTGTAATTTGATAACTACCAACTAACAACTGTCTTCTATTAAGTAGATCACATTATCACAGTTTCGCGAAACATTGAGCAAACTGTATTATTTAACTAGGTTTAATGCGTTCTGTTCTTATTTAGGCCCAAATAAACACTTTTGCTGATTAACTCACGTCATGAAACTTTGCTCGGGAGTTATCAAACATATTCAGATTTGACCCTCTCTAGAGGGCCGCGTACTTAGGAATCTTTTGAAAAAAAATGTTGTCTGGTGTCATCCCAAAGAACTCAAATGCAACTTTCGCGGTTGCAGGCGATTGCTAATAGAATTACAAAAAGAGATGCAAGGGGGAGGGGTAGTTGTTCTACTATTCAAGAGGAGAACATAAAAAACTGCTCTGTATAAGATCCCCATTCTTGTTTACTGGACAAGCATAAGGTAGTCAAAATCAACTGCAGTATTCGGAAGAGGACCTTGCACTGAAAAGCGAACCGGAATACTACTGGCAAGAGGGCCGCGTACGCGTACGCACAAAGGCACTACCACGACGACACGTTGGTATTCAAAGTAGGCTAGCCAAGGCCTGCCTATGAGCCTAACAATCAAGAAGATCTGAATGCACTGCAGTCGCTGACAGGGTCATCTTGTAAGTTTGAGAGGTTCCAGCCTTATATCATCGCGGGCCGCCTCTAGTGATGTGGTCACCTTCGAAGACCCTGACACTTGCCATATGCAAGGTAAGCTGGTGCGCATATGTAGAGGTGTGTCGCCATCGTCACTCGAATGTACACCGAATTCAGGCTGGAAAGTAAAGATAGCCAATTGTCTTTCCGAACTCCACCCAGAGCCAAACCGTGCAGACACGCGACGTGCTGCCCTATCAAACATACGCCTGGCTATTTGTCTGCGCCCTCTCCGGCTATTTCGTCGCTACCTTTGGCAGCGCACTTGCAGCAGTGAAGATAGATGCCGTGCTTAACAAATTCCTAGTATCCTTAATTGACCAAATGACCAGTCCACAGACCCAGAGATTGTGCCACTCCAGCGACTCTACAGTGATGGGGCCTTCCACTTTTCTGCTCCTGCTCAGCAATGCCCTTGTCGCTACAGCCAACCTGTTGGGGTGTCAGGCGTACTTCCCTTGCTTACTCGTACGTAATCCCGTTGATGCTGACGTTGATGGTAAGTCAGCAGCATCCAAATCATTTTGAACACCCCATGGTAAGTCTAGCAACATCTTTGAACCTGAACATACGGCATATGCAAACCCGTTGTAAATGATTGGCCTGTGCCGGCCAAATCTTCGTAATCGCCCTATCGCTTCACCGTGCTTTGGTCCAGTCAATGACGGCAATTTAGACATTTCCTCATCACCGATAACGATAACCATCTGTACTGCTGCGGCGCAAGGCACTGCTTAGCAGCCGAGAACAAAGGCGTTTCAACAACAATCACACTGCGATTCAACGCTCACAGTGAATGTGCTTACAACTGCTCCTTGTCACCCAATGTGTGCAGCACTCGGCTTTCGCAGCGAATCCCATTCACTAATGATAAAGCGAAAAATGCTGTTGAGTGGTACCGTTAGCTACATTTAATCGCAGGTTCGCGAAAAGTCGCGGTAACGTTTCTATCGAGGCGAAACTCGCTGTGCCTCCCACGAGTCACACAAAACTGGAATCCGTATTGTGATGAAGCTGGATAACACATGTATGTACGCACAAGGTAGAGATAAAGCGCATAAAAATAACAAACACTGTGCCTGCAACCGGCCAACTTCTTAGGTGGCTTTCGTACTCCATTTCCGCTAGGAGACCTCTCGCGTAATTTCCGCGTTACATTATCTTTCCAGACGGTCGCTCAGGCCATGTTGTGTTCATAGCCAACGACTAGGTGAGTACTAGGTGAGTATGTCCTACTACACGATCTACTCAAAGCTGCTTGCTTAAACCTTAACATCCATCCTCAGAAGACTTGTTGAATTGTAATTACTAGATGCATTGTAATTACAACAGCGACAACAGTCATATCAGGGTCCTCCCTTGTGTGCAACCAGTGAATCGAATCAGTGTAGAGCTTTATTAGACAGCATAATCATTGTTGTTTGTTTGTGGTGGTGCCGTACCACTGGCAATAGGTATCTATCTAAACGCAGCCTCCATTGAGCGTAGTCATCTAGCAATCTGATCTTCTTCATCATAGTTCTTCCAAGCTTCATTATCGTCCATACTGCAGCCATTGTTAAAACTGCCATGACCATGCCCATAGCAGCCAACCAGAACCATGGGGATTTCACATTCAGGCCATGTATAGTTTGATGCGGTTCCTTGTGGGGAGGGTGGTCGGGTGAGTGATGTGGTACGGTTTCCTGAATAATACCAGTTTTGCGTATAGAGTTACACATGAGACATTAATTAATTAGAGAAGACGTGCACTCACCGGTAGTACGACGCGTAGCTTCCCGTCCCATGATTTCTGAACAACACGTGAATGGACATTCACTCCCCCAATCATCAACATTTTTCCCTTTGGAATTTCTACAGCAAACGTCGGATACTTGATATCAATGGCCTCCCAATCCCTCGCTGCGTACTCTGATGCCAAGTACATATATCTCGTTTTCGTTGCAATGACTACACTTCGTGCAAGTGGGCGGACTAGTGTGAACTGTAATTGCAGTCGATGATTGCAAATGTCATGTAAATGGAAAAACAACAACACAATACCCTACAATTTCGTTCGTCGAGTTGTATACAGTTCGACGACAGCCATGTCTGTTCCCAATCTCTAGTCCACATCCTAACGGTTGTTGTTGCAATTGACACAGTTGTATTGTTGACATTTTCCGGCAGAAACCGATGTCTGGCACAGACAGAAGTGAATCTAAGGTTGCATGTCTGTGTTCTTTCTCTACTGCATAGCGCTGTCCAACGTTATCCGTCCAAAACGAATCCATATTCCACGAAAACTGTCCCAGTGGTTCCACGTGAAGGACATATTTTACATGAGAGAGGGTTGCCGTCGGATAGCATATCTGAGACAGAGGATTCCCTACTTGTACAACATATTGATACCGAACATTTACCTCCATCTCCTATCATATTATCGTTCATTCCAATAACAGTAGCTTTCACAGCGTCCAGTGCGGTACTGCCGTGTAATGCTAGCAGTGATTCTTTGAAGACCTTTTCTCCCATGAGTTGCTCAATTACTGACACTACACTGCGGTCACTGGACATCTGCATCATGCGCTGTGTCAGTCTGCCGAAACTGAACAGTTTGGTGAGCGTGTGTTCCACTGTTCCGTGCAGCTGCTGCATCACTGATTCTAGTCTTTGTTCGAAACGATTCCTGAAACACGCCAGTGATCCTTCAAACGCACTAATCGCGGTACCACCTTTTGCATAATTAGATGCACACCTGTACGTTTCCAGAGTAATCGTGTTGCTCGCCCAGGCAAGCTTGTCTAAGAGGCCTTTCGAATGCTTCTCCATGACCTGAACCGTCGTAAATGCTAGTGCTATGGTCAAACTACGACTTCAGTATTACTATTCACCAGTCCATAATTGTTCGTCCCAAGATTATTCTCCAAACTTTTCGTTATTTGTCCAACTCCCATACCAACGACATGTCCGCCACTGTTAGGAGATGTCCGGAATCGCACTTGCATCGATCTTTAAACATTCATTGCTGGTCAATGCGGCTACCAAACTTGTTTGAGAATCACCTTAAGACCGGTACTGAGGCGCGATGCATACCAAACAACTCCTTCATATCCGATATGTGGACGTCCAGTGCAACTGCCTTCATCTTTTGATATAGCTAAAACATCTAGGATTTCACCTACTTAAATATTGCAATCTAGATGGTGATTCTGACCGTGGATCTAAGAGTATCATTGAAAAATGTCCCTTTTCTCAGTGCCATCAATTCTTCTTCCATTGGCTTGATTGCCGCCTCAAACACTGTCCCGTCCACATAGGTCGTGTAGTCTGTAATAGTACGGGTCCATAACTGCAGTGAACATGTGCTGAAAAAATGCTCACCCATCACCAAATTCCCACATTCACTCTTGTAATCAGCTACTTCTCCCACAATCTCTGCGTGAAGTCCGTTCCGTCTCATTTCTGTAGCAAATTGTTCGTCCAGTTGTGGAGGGATGTGCGGGTTGTCGGAGAGATACATTCCAAAGTCACATGATGCACTTCTGGTGCAAAGAAGCACCATCATCACGATAACCTCACACGATTGCGTTGATTGCATTCTGCTTCTGAACAAAAATCTGCTGGACATTGTAGCGGTACTTGATGAAAATCAGGATTCGGCGTTGTCAAACAAATGCGAGCATATACATATCTGTTTCCTGAAAGAACCAAACTACCAATTTTTGTACTGCGTGGATCTACAACCACTGCTTACAGTGCTCTATAAAGGGCGATAAAGCGCTGTGTATTGCTCTTCCTTGTATTTCAGCTGCACCTCATAGCTATTGAACCGTCGATCCAGTGCACACAGCAGTGACCGATCGGATAGTTTTCTTCTATGTCTCTCTATATATGACCTGTTGGAATAAACGAGAAATTTAAATCATGGGCTACTTCGCAGCATCATCATTAGGAGACTAAAATAATCCACTTGGACCACAATCTCTTTAAAGCACTATGGATTGGTCGATTGAATTCCAAAGAAACTAATTCAAAAGATCACAAAAACTGAATAAAAGCAAAAAAAGAATAAGTGTCATTGAGAATGCAAAAAAGCCTACCTGAGATGAAAATTATTTCAGAGATGGAAATGCTACACCACGAAAAAAAATGATGCTGAAGTAATCAACGGGGAGGCAGAGGCGAATGAGGTGCAATATGCAGATACCAGTCGGATCGCACGGCTGACGCCGAGCTCTCCTCCTTCTTTTTAGCTCGGCTTCGCCGAGCTGGCCTGGCTTCGCCAGGCGCACATCATAACGGGATGGAATTAGTTAATTGCATGAGCTGCTCATATTGCGCGGTAGTGGTCGAATCATAATAGACAGAGTAACCTAGCGAAATCTGCACCCCTCAGAGTTGCGGAAGGCGTGCTGGTTTCGGCCATAACGCCCATTCTATACGTAGATCTCAGAAATAGGAAGTACAGAATATCAATATGTGTTGCACAGTAGATGAACACATTCCGTTTTTATTACCTGCATCACAACACCAACGATGGGCGATTCAACTTGTCATTAACATGCAATCCACCTGTCATTAACATGCAATCCACCTGCTAAGGTTGCATGAAGTGGCTGCAGATGACAATATTTAGGCAGCGTTCATTGAATATCTTACAACTACTTCGTTCTCGTCAGTGATTTAATGTTGAAAAGCAGAAAAAATATTTAAATACTCACTGAACCCATAAAGTGTGCTCCAACTCCAATATTGGAGTTTTTGATTTCT